CAAAACACTCGAACATCAAAGAACACTTTCCTAAAGCGATGGCCCCAGAATCCCTCAGCAGAAATGTCCAGTCTAGCTTCATCATCTGTGGATGCTGTCCGATATCGCAAGGTTTCCCCAGTGAGGGGTTGTAAGACTGGTTCCTTGACGACATTCGGACAGACATCTTTCATCAAAGAAGCAGAGAGATCCCGTACATCATTATGCCTCAGGTTGATTAGGCCACCGTGAACACAAACCAAGGAGTGATCGATGGAAAATGGATCGCCCATGGTTTTTTCTGAAAAATGGCTCCGAAATCACCCCAATTTTTTATTACATTTTCTGATACATATTGATGTACTTATGCTGCATAGCAAGTTTGAGCTGATTCCGACTTTAATTTTTTGAGTTACGGCCATTTTAAAAAATTTCCAAAATCTGAAAAATACCCAAGGCTATAGCCCATGGTTTTTTCTAAAAAATGGCTCCGAAATCACCCCAAATTTTTAATACATTTTCTGATATATATTGATGTACATGTACTTATGCTACATAGCAAGTTTGAGCTGATTCCGACTTCAATTTTTCAAGTTATGGCCATCTTGAGAAAATGCCAAAATTCTGAAAAATACCCAAGGCTATAGCCCATGGTTTTTTCTGAAAAATGGCTCCAAAATCACCCCAAATTTTTATTACATTTTCTGATACATATTGATGTACTTATGCTGCATAGCAAGTTTGAGCTGATTCCGACTTTAATTTTTTGAGTTACGGCCATTTAAAAAAAAATTCCAAAATCTGAAAAATACCCTAGGCTATAGCCCATGGTTTTTTCTGAAAAATGGCTCCGAAATCACCCCAAATTTTTATTACATTTTCTGATGCATATTGATGTACTCATGCTGCATAGCAAGTTTGAGCTAATTCTGACTTCAATTTTTCAAGTTATGGCCATTTTAAGAAAATGCCAAAATTCTGAAAAATACCCAAGGCTATAGCCCATGGTTTTTTCCAAAAAATGGCTCGGGAATCACCCCAAAATTTTATTACATTTTCTGATACATATTGATGTACTTGTGCTGCATAGCAAGTTTGAGCTGATTCTGACTTCAATTTTTTGAGTTACGGCCATTTTAACAAATTTGCCAAAATCTGAAAAATGCCTAAGGCTATAGCCCATGGTTTTTTCAAAAAATGCCTCCGAAATCACCCCAAATTTTTATTACATTTTGTGATGCATATTGATCCCCTTATGCTGTATAGAAAGTTTGAACTGTTTCCAACAAATATTTTTAGAGTTATGAGCATTTTTTAACAGCCAATTTTTGAGAAGGCCATAATAATTATAGCTGTATAGCGGGTAATTTGAAATTTTGGTAAATTGCAAAATTTTTCCTAATTTAATTTACGCTATTCAGACGACTCCTCACTCAAACTGACCTGACAATGCAGAAAAGCTGTCAAGGACACTTGGCCTATAAAATAAAGGACACATTATGTCACGTGATACATTTGTTCTAACCACGTGAGTGATTCGTGTTCCATTTTCCCCACAAAATTAGAGAGTGAGCCCTTCACATCCCCTACTTTCGCCAGTATAGCAACTATGGCGGCATCTAATACCTTGTCTTGAGCTGGCTGGCCTGTATTAGCCTAAGAAAATAAGAAAATCACACAAAACAAAGCGCCATTTTACTTACGGACATAGCTACTAACCGGATACTTGTTCCGTAAACTGTAACCACGTGGATTTACCCGGGGATGTTTTGACACATAGAGATACTACAAACACACATGTTTGACACCAATCAGCAGTTAGAGTTTTGGTGTCTGTCATCTACAAACAGTGAAGCAGCAACAACAATGGTGAGTCTATCTATCAAATTTAGCCAAATTTAAAACTGTCTTTTTAGGTAGTAAAGTTCAACTCAGAAGCCAGCACACTAAAAGTTGTTCTCCTAATAGTTACCATTTTGGCCAACGTTACTAACCAGGCTGTGTACCTCACACTCAAGGAGGCAGAGAGCAAAGCAGAATTTGCTGCAACTGTAATTGGACTTTTTGCTGCATTTTATGTTATATTTGTAGCTGCAGTGGTACTCAGCATTCTTCTTAGGCATAAGGATTATATCACGGACCAATCATACAGTGAATTCTTGATCATAATAACAGCCCAAGTTTTAACAGGAATAGGAGGCCTGTGCTTTTTCATTGGTGATAGGATATTACCACTCCTCACAACGTTTGGCCCTGAGCTTAACTGCAATGAAAATTGCATTGATACAGCAGCTATTACTGGGACTGCACTAGTAGTGGTCTCTCTCCTGGTTTTTCGCTTTGTCCCACTACTCATATTCAAGCTGCACATTGTTACCAATACATACCAACATTCTGCAATGATTGTGAAATGTCATTCGATGTGGCACAGCATCATCGAGGCAATGTCACTCATTGTAGAGCTTGATGCCTGGTTTGTCATCATTGCTGACATACCATTGGAGAATCCTAATTTCTGCCCCAAGCACCAGCTTATAGTAGCATGGGTACTCTATGTTTTCATTGGAGTCATATGGATAGGAATGCTAATGGCTATAGTTCTACCAGGAGCTATTAAACTACTGTCAAGAGGTCACGATTTATTCAAAGCTTTTTCTCTACCATTGTCAATGATAGTGATAATATGGTTTAGTGTGACAGTTCTACTCATTAGTGCCAATGTACAACCTATTGGCTGTCTTTTTAAGTGTGACATAGTACTTGGTAACTTTACAGCTGATTGCAACACTGAGGGGTACTATGGCTCAAGGACTGCCATGCTGTGTCTTGTTACAGTCACGTTCATGGGAGTTGGTATAGTACTGACTCACATTGCATCGATGACAGGCTACACAACAAGTACAGGTAGAAGCAACGAAGATAATATTTCACTAGAAGAACAGGATGATTGACCATTAATTGTTTTAACTATTAATTATCATTACATTTCTTTATGTAGAGTGCATAAAATACAATATGTTTTGCCTGTGTTGGTATCAAGAGTGCGCATAATAAATTTTAGAAAAATAATTCTCAATTTCTAAATAGCAATAAAGAGAGACCGCCCCCAACAACACCTGCAGCTAAGCTCAATGCTAATATCATTGCAGTATCATTTGAGTCTACCGGTTGGGTAGTATCTGTCTCCATTGCTACATTAGTAGATGATTTCTTAATGGCATCAATAACGTCATGTTTCAAGGTTACGCTGTCAGATCTCATTTCTTCAAGGATTCTACAAGTAATAGATTCCGAATGTTCTTTGATGGCATTAATTACTTCACTAGTAGCAACTGAAGTATTATTAATAGGAGGAGGAATATCATTAGTTGGAGGCGTGGATTGTCTTAAAGTACTAACATATTGAAAGCCCTTCCAAGTGGTCATTATGGTACCAACTGCAATACCTAATACAATGTAACGCATTGCATAATCCCTTGTAGAATTGTATAAAGACTGATACGAAGATCTAGTTTTATCAAAAAGTTCCTGTTCCTTTTTCGTGAGATCTTCAACGATCTGTTGCTGCCGTTCTTCTTTCTCTTTTAAACTATTCTCCATCTCGTTAATCTCGCGTATAACTTGCACGTCAGATTTCGACTTTCGATACTCAAATTCTCTTCGTAAATACAACTCATGTAGCTCAGTCTTGATGCCCTCCATGGACTTTGTGGCTTCTACGAGCGTCTGTCTTGACTGTTTAAAATCCTCTTCAAGTCTCTCTGTGTCTAGTTTGAGTTTCTCGACCTCGTGTCTGTTGGTTTTAACTAATCTGGTTGCCACTGGAACTAGCTTGTTTAAATATGGTTGCGAGGTTTCCTTAACTTTCCTTGTATAGCTTTCTATTGCTCTCTTTCCTTGGTCTGTGAATGCTCGAGTGCGGGATTTCATCAGCCTTAGCATCATGGCTATCTGCCAAACTGACCCTCCTTCTCATGATGAGCCACACCCCTTGATTCATCAAAGAAATAATTTGTATTTGTTTTCATTGAAAGCATAATAGTTTTTGTCATCTTAGCTCTAAATGATCTACAAAAATTTGGTAAATGATTCATAAATTGCAAACTAAAAAAATCAATACAATCCTGTTTTAATTGACTAGACTGGATGAAAACATTCAGTTTTGCCGTGCTACAAAGAAGATGACTACAAAAATGAACTATCATATTTTACTTTTCCTGGCACTAGCTGTGTTTGTAGTATCTGAAAATCAATGCAAAGGTAGGCAGTGAGATACAATAATGTATCTTATATAC